CCAACTACACTCCAGTCAACTGCCCATCTCCACCCGGAGGTTGCGTCACTTGCCCACCTGGACCCGCAGGACCACCCGGACCAGATGGAAATCCCGGAGGCCCAGGACCCAACGGAAACCCAGGTGGCCCTGGACAGCCTGGTTCAGATGGACAGCCAGGACAGCCAGGACCTCCCGGACAGCCTGGACAACCTGGTTGGTTTCTTTCTCTTCATATCACTATGTAAACAATTATATACTTTTTAGGACAACCTGGATCACCTGGTCAGCCTGGACCGGACGGCACCACCGATTACACTCCAGTCAACTGCCCATCTCCACCCGGAGGTTGCGTCACTTGCCCACCTGGACCCGCAGGACCACCCGGACCAGATGGAAATCCCGGAGGCCCAGGACCCAACGGAAACCCAGGTGGCCCTGGACAGCCTGGTTCAGAATGGACAGCCAGGACAGCCAGGACCTCCAGGAGATGCTGGAGCACCAGGAAACCCAGGAGGCGATGGACAACCTGGACAGCCCGGACAGAGCGGCACCACTTCTACCAACACTCCCGGAGGACCTGGACCAGCTGGACCACCTGGAGCTCCCGGAAATGCAGGAGGACCCGGACAGCCAGGAGGTAACGGAAACGATGGACCACCCGGACCACCAGGAAATCCCGGAGGCCCAGGACCCAACGGAAACCCAGGTGGCCCTGGACAGCCTGGTCAGAATGGACAACCAGGACCTCCCGGACCTCCAGGAGATGCTGGAGCACCAGGAAACCCCGGAGGCGATGGACAACCTGGACAGCCCGGACAAAGCGGCACCACTTCCACCAACACTCCCGGAGGACCTGGACCAGCTGGACCACCTGGAGCTCCCGGAAATGCAGGAGGACCCGGACAGCCAGGAGGTAACGGAAACGATGGACCACCCGGACCACCAGGACAGCCAGGAGCACCAGGACAGCCCGGAAACGACGGTCGTCCAGGAAACCCAGGAGGCACAGCACCTCCAGGAGGTGATGCCGCCTACTGCCCATGCCCACCTCGCTCAGCTGCTTGGCTCGTCGTCGCGTTGTCAAGCACTAAGCATTGAGGAGTACAGTAGACTTCTGTATGCTACTGCAGTTTCTTTTAGATAGCGATTGTTCGAAGAATAAACAATTTGCTCAAAGTTTGTCTCTTGTACTTTTGTAGCAAAAAAGAGCGAACAACTTGTTCTATTAGTAATTGCTGTTTGATGCCGCAGGAGGCGTTCCCAAAGTCATCGCGGCCGTCCTGCCGAGAAGGGTAAGAGGTGGTCCTCGACTCCACTAAGATAGTAATACAACTACCTTTCAACAAAGTTCTCCCATGCTCAACATTTCAAGAGTGAACTTGAGGAGTCTTTCTGACTCCTTACAGCACTCACGCGCTGATTGAGTGCCACCTTCACTTGTAGGCTCGAAAACTTGGTACGTGTGTTCAAATTGCCGCCGTTCCTCATCGAACCCAAGATGCCCCCCCCCCTCTGTTATGCGAATCCGTTGGTTCGCAATTTCCTCTCTAACTCGAATGATTTTGACCCTTCCGAAGGAAATCCTTCAGTATGCACCTGACAATTTTTGACGCACCACTAACGCATCGAAAAAACTGGAGGCGAAACACTCATTTTTTCGGGCCAGCACTCAGTTTTAGGCTTAGAAGCGTTGAAAACACCTTGTTCATGTGACAGGCTCCAAAAATGCCATAACTTGAAAAGAAGCCTAATGGGAGATGGACAAAACAATCACAATTCGTCGCGCCGTCGCGCGACGTACCGTGCGGCAGGCTCTCGATGTGCATCAGTTTGGTGATCGGGGTAGCGAATTTCATGAACTGCACAGGAACAAAGCACAAAAAAAGCGTCTGTCCTACGATATCAGATTTTTCCGGTGTATTCAGACTTTCGCGGAATTACGCCTTAAATAACGGCTTAGGCAGGACAATCGTCAATCGGAGTGGTCTCGCTTTGCCACGCACCGCAACGCGGCATTTTGCTAGCCGAATATCCAACTAATATTATGAAACTGCCTCTGAATCGTAGCTGCGTAGCAACGTGCAGCTATTCAAAAAAATGTATCCTTGGCATCTGAAGAGCTCTGGGGGGTAGTGGATTGAAGTGCAGTCACGGGCAGCCCAGCTGCTTTAAAGCACGCTCGCCGCGATGAAAAGTGGCAGGAATAAACTGCTGATCTTATGAACAGTAGCTGATAGAATTCCTTCGTGAGGGGAAAGATGCAACATAGAGCCCTCAAGAACACCACAAACGAAATTGCTCCCTTACAGTTACACCGCCCTGCGATCCGTGGGCAACCCCTGGCTCGAAAATCTCTTTATCACATCTCTCAGTAGTGGATATCATCCAATGCAATGAAAAGAATACGAAAAACAATAAAAACTCGGAAGAAAAACTCCTGAAAGGCAAAAAAAACTTTCAAAGACACGGCGTCCGAATTTGGGTTACGGTAGCGAGCGGCTTTTAGTGCATGTTGCTAGTCGAGCTTTGCACCACAAAAATTGCATCACTCGTGATTTCTATGCGTTTTGGGCTACGAGGTGTTCATTTGGCTGTATGTGACCTCTCAGCAAATGAACATGTGAAGTAAGGAAGCAGAGTTATCTAGTGGCACCATCGCGGTCTGCAAATGATTGCAATCGCGCAGTTTGCCCGCCGTCCCACAAGAGCCCAGACTTGAGGGTCTCCGTCGTAGGCAGCTAGCAGTGAGGCCCCGTCCACTGAGCGGGCTGTTTGGGACTAGGAACTTTTGGCGGTTGTTATTTTTCTAGCTCGCCCTTCGCTCACTGTGAGTTACTGAGAGTGGGACTAGGCTATAGCTTGGGGCTTGACACGACCTTTAAAGAAGACGACTATGGACTACCTGGCAAGCGTGGGGTGTCTCAGGAAGGCAGCGTTCAGACTTCGCGACGGCAGCGCTTCGGTCGCGCGTTCGACGCGATCGATGCAGTCGAAGCATGCGCATCGATCGTCGAATCGCGCGACCGAAGCGCTGCCGTCGCGAAGTCTGAACGCTGCCTAACAGGCATCATTGGTGGGAAAGGTCGCCCTGGCTGCGCTCTAATAAACGCCGACTAACACGCCGTCTCGCTTACAGAGATGATTACTGTACACAGGTGGAAACGTTCCATTTTTATATACCCGCCGGGGTTGATGAAATGGCGATGGTTTCGTCAGGGTGGGGGGGGGGGGACAAACCACCTGGTGGTCTTTTTTTTTTTTCAAGGAATTTGCTTTTTTCTTTTTGGTCGCCCCCACATAAAGATTCAAGGCAAACCTCGCGATCGTATTGGATAGTGCCGTTCTGCTACAAATCTATAATCGCTGAATAGATTTTTAAAGCAAAAAAAAATCATGGAGAACACTTAAAGTGGAACGTGCCAGCCTCTCTGGACAACTTCTCCGCACCTGCTCGTTTTAAAGGAACGGTCCGCTATGACCTATGAAAATGAGTAAGACTGTGTGAAAGGGTAGTGTGGTCCACAATGGACACGCTTGTTCCAGTTTCGCGGCCGAAAGTTGTAATGTTACGAAGTTAAGGCCTAAAGTTGCTTCAGTGGTACCTCCCGACTTCCAGTGACTCCGCCTCCAAACTTCGCCTCTCAGCTAAAAGCGACGTTACGAGTAGCATAAGTTAGATGTTCCATTGTCTCTTGTAGAGTCATAGGGTTCATCACAAGGAATCAGCCGATTGGACTCGTTCCAACACGCGGTCTTTTGGTCTTTCATCCGTACGATTGTTTGAGGCTGAAGCGGCCTTTTTAGAGGCGTTGCCGTTGTTCCTTTGGGCATTTTACCTTAGATTACGAGTCCCTTGACAACTTCTCTTCCACGTTTCAACACTGCCTGCGCTCCTTGTCGTGGACCGTGCCTTTAAGCCAGCAAAGCGATATCCTGCCACTTTTGGCTCACTATTCTTTTCTTCGTCATCCAGTACTATCTAGAAGTGAGAAAAAACCAAAACACAGGGGCACTTGAGAAAGTTGCCCTTAGTTCCGGTGGGCGGTACAACTAGGGAGGCGTCAGAATTGCCAACGAATTGCTCGAGCGCGGGGACTGCCTTTGAAGGCACATCCCTCTACTGCACATTGTAGGTAACAGAGTTCAAAATCAGGCGTGCGCTGA